TCCTGGCGTCAGAGGCCTGACATCAGTTGTGGCATTTATATAACGGTAACAAGAAGCCCCTGTTGTCATTGTGCACACATACCTAGCATCCCCTTGGGCAGATTTCCACGTTTCTGAGCGAGGCTGTGATGCTTCCAAATGACAGCATTGAATTCTGGCTATTTTCTCGTTGCTAAATGTTTTCTCTCATTTAAAATGTCATTTTATTTAGCACTAAATTGTCGCGGACCCATTTCTCTATTTGTACCAAGGGCAGTATAAGCTATCCGTCCTAATTTCTACCAGCTGATAAAACCTGCACGATGAAAGCAATGCCTACTAGTTCGCATTCACACTGTTGTTCGTGTTTTAGCTACTGTCAAAACTCAAAAACTTATTTATCCTTAAAAATATGTGTTAACATTATTATACAGACCTCACCAGAAGATAAAATATTAGCATCAAAAACTAAAACATGCACGTTTTATCATTTTTTCCCCCAAACGTAATCTCATCAGGATTACTTTAGGAGGGGACGTTTTTTTCCTATTTACAGGGAAAATATTAAAATGTAAATGAATAGGTATAGATTATATGCTTTTTGCACTTTATTTTCCCAATTTCATTTCCCTCAGTGGCAGCGGCCTGCTCAATCCCCTGAAGTGAGTCTCTTCAGATGCTGAAAATATAGCATGCAAAATATAGTATTAATATGCAGTGGTATGTTTCTTTGAATTGCCTGCTCACTAACATTTGTTTAGATTTACAATCTCCTATTTGTTATACAGCAAAACAATTCTCCATACAATAGACCAGGGGTAGGCAACCTTGGCTCTTTTATGACTTGTGGACCTCAATTCCCAGAATTCCTCAGCCAGCTTTGCTGGCTGAGGAATTCTGGGAGTTGAGGTCCACAAGTCATAAAAGAGCCAAGGTTGCCTACCCCTGCAATAGACTTACACTTCTAAGAACACCACAATGACACCTGTAGTTTTCATGTAAAAGAAATTAAAAACAAAACAAAACAAGGGGACTATTTCTGAATCTGCCAATGAAAAAAAATATATACTAAGTAGGTTTGCTAAGATTCAATCAACTAAGCAGAATAGTACAGAATGATATGTAGTTTTATCTATCAGAATATTACTCTGAAAAAGGTTTTGATGTGTTTCATACGCTTATTAGAAATGAGCAAATGAATATAGATTTTGTCTTATAAACATTTTTGTTTTAATTGTATTATAAATAAAAAACTTTTTATAAAAAAAAAAAAACAGGTTCGAATAGAGTCCCTTATTCAGTGGCAAAAAAAATTGATTATCTCTGCTCCTATTCGGAATTTTCTGATGCACGTAATTTATTGCACCTCGCCAACGTTGCACGTAGCCAAAGAGAAAATTAGCTAGCCTGACCTGTAATCTGAATGAAGGGCTACACTGAATTATGTTCAAACAAAGCCAGTCCAGCAGGAGCCATGCTGAATTTTATTTGCGGTGGGGCTGTAACATCTGAGACTGTACCCCACTGGTTGCGTGACCAACAGTTTGTGTGACTTACAATCCGAAATGGTAGAAGCCCAGCGAGAGATACACTATGCTAGTCTGTTCCAATCAAGACAACTGTAAAGACTTGGGTAGCCTGTCGTCAAATAAATAACCATTTCAACAAACCCGCCGGATCCTCCACACCTTGTGCAAAGGCAGGATCCATCAAACAGGTGATGAGCTCACAATCTGTAGTCTTCCAAGTCTACCTACACAGCACAGAAACAGATTTACGTAGAAGACCGACTGCAATTGCAAAACTCGCTTCCTTTTGTGTAAAGAAAGAAACGTGGGCTCACCCAGAAAAGATTAGCAAACCAAAGGATTTTTAAACAGCGTTTTTATTTTAAGGTTGCTATAAATGCAATTATTGAGAATACCATACGCCAGAGTACTTGGATACATATTCCTGATCATGCTAGTTTTCAGCTAGAGGAATAATGGAGGCCTTAACAGTCGTTTTTTTTTTTTTTCTCTTTTAAATAACACACCTTCTGTTCTTTTACGGAGAGCAGCCAAAATATTTTTCTTCCCAATTTAGATGCAGCAGGGGTGTGGGTGGGTGGGAGGGAAATTGATAACTGTGCAATCCACACAGCAGAACGTGTTACCTCTCTTCTGAAACTGCGGGATAGCATAGGGGGGGGGATACGAATTTGCAATCTTGCGTGCAAAATATCCCTTGGAATAACCACGTTGCCTTGTTTAGAAAACGTGCAGCGAAGAAGCTGAGCCAGCTTATCGTGCCTTGAAAGGGAGCTGGAAAAGTGCAACGTTTAACAAGGGGGGGAGGGCTAATGGTAGAAGCAGTTAAGATGCCTCCTGAAATTTCAGATGCCGGGAGAGAAACATCTGCAGCAGTTTTGAGAACGGCGGCCCCCCCCCGTTCAGAACGAAATAGCAGCCAAGGAGATTTCTTTCAAAGATCGCAACCCAAGGTGCGCTATAACGCCAACCGGGCAGGAGAAGGTGGAGTTACGGGGAGGGAACAACGGACAACTCAACTGTTACCAGGATTCGTCTGGATGACGACTATTATTATTATTATTATTTATTTAGTTTTAAGGTGAACGATCGTGCAAATCAGAGGGATACCGAGAGAAACCCTTACCCGCCTTTGGGGGGGGGGACAAAAAAAACCGTCACGTTCTAAATAACGTCGCAGCCCTCGTATTTTACACAGAGCTCTCTCTGTTTTCTCCTAGCGAGTTTATTTATTTACCAGGGGTTGTGGGGGTTTTTTTTTGGCGCTCCTTTCTAAATTTAGCAGGACAGCGAGAGAGAGAGAAAACGGTTGGAAGGACCATTTTTTTTTAATTTTTTTTTTTTGTTTTTGGCGCCAGTTCAGTTTAAAAAACATCCTCTACCTGGTATCTCTGCCGTGATTGTCTTGCTGCTCCCCGAGACTTCTTCGTCGTCGTCCTCCGAGGAGCTGGTGCTGGAGTCGCAGGTGAGGTCGCTGTCGCTGGTACTGCTGTCCTGCAGCAGGTTGTACTTCTTGCGGGCGGCGGCCTCCCGCTTCTGCCGCAGCAGCCGGATGCGCTCCTTGTGCTTTTGGCTCCGGTGACCTTTGACCTTCGCCACCCGGCCATTCTGCTTGTCGCTCGACTGCCGGTTTTTCTTGGCGGCCATGGTGGAGGAGGTTTCGCTTTCCGACCGGGACCGCCTGGATTTCCTCCCCGGGGTCGACAGGGAGACGGCGGAGGGGTCCCCCTCGACCGCCGCCGTCTCGGCTTGGCCGGGGGCGGCCTCTTCGGCCGAGGAGAGCGTGTCGGAGTCGGCCAGGTGGCCGCTGGACGAAGGGGACAGCATGCAGTGGTTCGAAGAGTCACTCTCGTAGACGCGGCCGGCCGTCGGCTTGTCGCTTTCCGTCGAGGCCAGCTGAGATTCGGACGAGTCCCGCCTCAGCTCCATCAGCAAGCAAGGCATGGAGGCGAGCACGGTGGAATCCTCGCCGGGCGCCCGGCTCTCCTTCGGGGCAGGCAGGTCCAGTTCTATAGATCCCTCTTCCCCCAGCGCTGGCTCCGGCTTCTCGGCGAGTTGGGGTGGGACTTCTGAGGGGAGGAGTTCTTCTGTTCTGTCCGCCGCCTCCATCTTCATTTCAGAGTTTTAAAGTCTCTCCTGGTCTCAGAGGATAGACCCAGAGCTTCGGGGAAGGGGAAACTCACCTAGGGCTTCAGCAGGAAAGCAACCTAAAGGGGAAGAAAAAAAAACACACACAGCACGTGACTGAGCTGGTCATGAGGACAAAGACTTGGACAATAATTTAATTTCACGAAGAGTTTTGTAAAGCACAAAAGCAACAGGTTGATCATCCCACAGAGCAGGGCAGATCTGTAAGGATGTACAGTGCATTTTAAAAAAATGTTTGATTGATTTTCTAATGTTACATTTAAGTATTTAAAAAGCAACGTGGCGGCTGAGTTAATCGAACATTCAATGACATACAAGTATCTCAAAGTACCACATTAAATATTTCCTCTCTTTTCCCCTTAGTGTTTACATGTTTAAACGAATACAATTCTTGTTATATCAGTTAAATAAAAAATAACGTTCTTACATTTATCAGTAATTTTTAGCTTATACATATCCTGGTTATTTCAACGGACTGTCTCATGTTTAAACGAATATAATTCTTGTTATATCAGTTAAATCAGTGGTTCTCAACCTTTTTAATGCCGCGACCCCAACCGGTCATAAGTCAAGGACTAAACCGGTCGAAAGTCGAGGACTAAACCGGTCGTAAGTTGAGGACTACCCAACCGGTCGTAAGTCAAGGACTTTCCCTGCCCGGGAGCGCCGCGCATGCGTGGTTCCGCCCCCTGCGCCAGCCGAGGCGTAGCTGGCAAGTGGCAGAGACGGAGCAGGCCGACCACCAGCTGGCCCAGCCCAAGGGAGGTAAGGCACCCGCCGGAAAAGGGGGAAAAAATGGAAAAATGGCGGACAAAAAAAGGCAGACAGCCTTGCTTGGCGACCCCCGTGAAATGGTCGATCGACCCCAAATGGGGTCCCGACCCACAGGTTGAGAACCACTGAGTTAAATAAAAAATAACATTCTTACATTTATCAGTAATTTTTAGCTTATACACATCCTGGCTATTTCAACGTTCAGTCTTGATGGACAATCAATGTCCTAATTAGTTTTTCCCAATTTTTAGTTTCCCATTCATATTTAAACTTAACATTTAATATTTATAATTGCCAAGTTTTTAAGTGACCAAAATTCCCTTTATCGCAATTCATCACAAAGTCTAATATGTGGGATACACGTCTGATCTAGTTGAATATATTCTATTTCTCACCATCTTGCGGATGTACAGTGCATTAAAGAAAAGTATTCAGACCCCCCTTCACTTTTGCCAATTTTGCTATGCTGCAGCCCGATTCCACATTGGTTGAAATTCATTTTTCCCCCTTGTTAATCTACATTCAGTGCCCCATGATGACAAAGTGAAAACAGAATTTTAGAAATGTCTATGCATTTGTTAAAAAGGAAAAAGAAATGAAATATCACGCTGGCGTTAAGTATTCAGATTCTTTGCAAAAGCATTTGAAATGTAGCTCAGGTGCCTCCCAGTTCTCTGGATTGTTTTTTTTTTCTTGTAAAGTTTTATTGATTTTCTAACATTACATTTAAATATTTGAAAGCAACGTGGCGGCTGGGTACAATAATTCTATTACACATAAATATCTTTAGTACAAACTGTTACAATCCCCGTTCCCTCTCTTTCTCCCTTAATTAATCTACTGTCTCCTATTTTAACTAATACAATTCTTGTTCTGTCAATCAAATAGAAAGTAACTTTCTGACATTTATCAATAATTTTTAGTTAACATACATCTTAGTTGTTTTAACTTTCAGTCTTTAGACAACCAATGACCTGATCAATTTTTCTCAATTTTAATTTTCCGTTAATATTTAAATTTAACGTTTAATTAATGATCATTTCCACACTTTAGATGACCCCAATTCCTTTATCGCCATTCCTCCCAAAGTCTAATATTCAGGATACACATCTTACCTATATAAGTTCTCACCATCTACATCAGTGTTTCTCAATCCTGACAATCTTAAGGCATGTGGACTTCAACTCCTAGAATTCCACAGCCAGCATTGCTGGCTGTGGAATTCTGGGAGTTGAAGTCCACATGCCTTAAAATTGTCAAGGTTGAGAAACACTGATCTACATCAACAAGTTAACAATGCAATAATGTTCTTATTTTCTAATAATTCTCAAGTACCTTAAAAATTTTAAATTTAATGACCAAAATTTCTTTTATTTCCACATTTAATACTTCCTCTCTCTTGATCGCTGCTGACCTGTTTCTGCAGTGTATACTTTCAATACTGACTCTCTCCACTTACCTCTATTTTTACAATGGGGGTGGTGCTTAAAAGTCAAGACATATATTGCTTTTGTCATTTCATCAAGTGAGTCTTATTCCAAATTCGTGCATAACCATTGAAAAGTTGTACGGTACTGTCAACTATCCCATTCAGTTTCCCTGGAGCTAACTGGAAACCTACAACTAGGAAAAAAAACACGTCCCTCCCTCCTGGACGCTAAATAGCCCATGAGTTTGTCAGATATTCATTTCAAAAAAATTACCGTATAATTTATCCATGATCCCTATTTTCATAGGCTCTAGTTTTGGCAATTTGTAAGCAGAAATTAATGTTAGCCTAGACCAGGGGTAGGCAACCTTGGCTCTTTTATGACTGGTGGACTTCAACTCCCAGAATTCCTGAGCCAACATGGCTCAGCTTGGAAACCTCTCCCTTTCCCCTCAGCATGGCTGCCTCAGGAATTCTGGGAGTTGAAGTCCACCAGTCATAAAAGGGCCAAGTTTGAAGACCCCCTACCCTAGACCTAGAGTCTAGTCCAGGGGTAGGCAACCTTGGCTCTTTTATGACTGGTGGACTTCAACTCCCAGAATTCCTGAGCCAGCATGGCTCAGCTTGGAAACCTCTCCCTTTCCCTTCAGCATGGCTGGCTCAGGAATTCTGGGAGTTGAAGTCCACGAGTCATAAAAGGGCCAAGTTTGAAGACCCCTACCCTAGGCCTAGAGTCTAGGCCAGGGGTAGGCAACCTTGGCTCTTTTATGACTGGTGGACTTCAACTCCCAGAATTCCTCAGCCAGCATGACTCAGCTTGGAAACCTCTCCCTTTCCCCTCAGCATGGCTGGCTCAGGAATTCTGGGAGTTGAAGTCCACCAGTCATGAAAGAGCCATGGTTGCCTACCCCTGGCCTAGATTCTCTAGCCAGGAGCATTTGGGAAGCAGAATAGGGGAAAACCTTGGTCTTTTAGGCTCCCTAGAAGAAAGAAAAGTGAACAATGGAAGCTGTTAAACCATTTGGATCAATACACCCAACTCTCATCTGATCCGAGTACTTCTGTTTATTTTTATTTTTTATTTATTGCATTTTGAAACCACCCATCTGCTTCAGAGGGACTCTTCTTTCCAGATCGTGGCGTTAACAAATCAATGAATGCTTCACCCAATCCTAACCCATCTTCAATCTGTCAGTCACAAAGTTATCCCATATACCCTGTTGAAAAAGGTAGCAACAGAACGGCTCACAACTACACAGAGGCCTCAAAATCTTAGAACTGAGCGTGCTGCCTTTTCCAAGTGTGATCAATCAATGCAATAAAATTCACACGCGTGTCTACAATAACGACTTAGATGGGGCATGAGAATTATGAATGCTACCGGGACGAAAGTGGATATAAGATAGCATGTTTTTGTAAAGTTCTTGTCTGCCAGATAGAAGATATCCTTGCTGCTTTTTTAAAGGTTTGCTAGGATTTGTGTATTTTAAAATGCTAAGGTTTTTAAAAAGATTTTAGTATTTTCAAAATACTAAAATGCTAAATTTTTAAAATAATTTTTAACTATGCTTCTACTTTCTTACATTCTATTTCTGTATTTTGTAACCTGTCTTTGATTGGTCCCCAGAGCAGAATTTTAGGGTATACAAGGTAATGCTAGACAGCATAAGTTGTGCTGTTTTCAACACAATACTTTCTCCTGTGTATGCAAAGATTGTGTGTGTGTGTGTGTGTGTGTGTGTGTGTGTGTGAGAGAGAGAGAGAGAGAGAGAGAGAGAGAGAGAACTACATGCATTACTTAAATACTAATAATAATGTTATTAAGGTTTTTAGATTTCTTTTTAACTGTTCACAGGTGGTAAGTTACCAGTGTAAAAATTAGTTTAACTTCATTGGGTAGCTGATGATAAGCTATCACAGTACATCCTAAAAATGTAAAGACAATCTTGCTTTGCTGTGTGGCAAAAGACGTGACATTCTAGGTTTATTGTTGGCAATGCCAGCACGTTGTATTGAGAAGAAAATCTTTCATTTACACAGACGTGATAAAAGCATATAGACATTGGGTGTTTTTTTTTGTTTTCAGTGCAACTTGTTCCTGTCTAAACTATTCCTTGACTATACTGTCGTACTAATCACAACAAACTTTATTTAGGAACTTTATTGTCACTGGCAAATACATTCCAAGCTTCAGGCAGAGTTGTTTTCTATCTTTGCAAGGAGAAGGGCGGGATATAAATTTAATAAATAATAATAATAATAATAAAAAATGCTATGGTTTTGAAATCTGGGGGATTTTTGCATACCATTTTGCCCAACGCAAAAAGGGGACATAAAAATATAAAGTGGATGTAGTTGAAGTCAGGTCTTCTGAAGCACCCACCAGAAGAAAGAGCTATAAAAGCCGCAACTCAAGTGTATAAGGCAAGTAGAACAGAAGAATTAAAGCTAATAATAATAATAATAATAATAATAATAATAATAATAAATAATAATAATAATAATAATAATAATAATAATAATAATAATAATAATAATAATAATAATAATAATAATAATAATAATAATAAAGTTGGAAGGGACCTTGGAGGTCATCTAGTCCAACCCCCTGCTCAGGCAGGAAACCCTATACAATTTCAGACAAATGGCTGTCCAGTCTCTTCTTAAAAACCTCCAGTGTTGGAGCATTCACAGCTTCTGGAGGTAAGGAGTTCCACTGGTTAATTGTTCTCACTGTCAGGAAGTTTCTCCTTAGTTCTAGGTT